CCTCCCCCCCCCAAAAGAAAACACAACGCAAACACACGCAGACACACGCAGACACTAAAACAACGGCGCACCTTCCAGAAAAGAGCGACCTCCGCATCCTCCTCCTCTTCCCGGGAGACCAGGTCCGGGTCTTCCCTACACTTGTCTTCCACCACCGATACGAGCGTCCCGAGCTTCGTGTGGAAGAGGTGCTGCTGCTGCTTGCTCCTTTTCACCATCAGCTTCACCCCCTTCTGGTTCTGCTCGCGCTCGCGCCTCGCGGCGGTCTCCGCGGACACGACCGGCGAGCCAGTCGCGACGCCTGGCGGCCTTTGGCGCCCTATGACGGTCGAGGCCATGTCGATGTTGGTGGCGTCAGCGAGCTTCTGCTTCATCCGCCTGCAAAGGGGCGGGGCAAAAATATTGTCGTCCATGAGTTTTGTCGCTTTCTCACTAGTGTGGCGAAGCGCGGCCTGGCATGTCAACGTCGGCGGCTGTCCGGGGAATGCTCTATTATACATGTGCTTCGCACGCGGGCTTCTCGAGCAACACGACTCTCGTCGCCCCTGCCGCGTCGTGTGAGGTCGACGTGTACTGCTGTACACGTCACAACTGCGATAAGAACGATTCCCCTCGATAGCGACACACCTACAGTCAAGACCGGGTTCATGTAGTTGCGGAATGCCCGTTAAAGGAGAGGGGAATGTACTTGACTGAGCCGGGGTAGGTACAGGGAGATGATTGAAGCTGTGCTGGGGCATAGGACATTGGTGGAAGAGGCGGGAAGTGATATCGATAGGATAGATAGGCTACTTATGCAAAAGATTTTTGATCCACCTTTGGCAAAGTAGTAAAGAACGATTGGCCATCGGCAAACGGTTCTGTGCGAACAATGCTCCGTCCCCTCGAGGAAATGTGGTCAATGGTCTGACCGCTAAGGCATGCCAAACATAATGAGTACGCCGCCCCCCCCCCCCGGATTTGATGTGTAGTCGGGCTAACCGAATGTGAAACGTTTGGCTACCCGGGATGCCCAATGGCACATCTGGTTTGGCACAGCCAATGCGAGGATGTGACCAACTTGTCCTTTTGGAGCATAGCCTAGGCCGGCGAGAACCCGGCGGCCTATCGCTCCGTCCCAGGATGCGAGGTCAACGGCGCAACGACCACGGCACATGGGTACCCCCCCTACTTGGCAAATCAAAACACACCGGTTGCTTCACACAACCACTCGCCTGGCGTACGCCTGGTCTTCCTCACTGGTGGCAGCCCGCGAAGAGCTGCAGCCACCTCCGTCGCTGCTCTCCAGGAGAGCGTCTACCTTCGCCCGCACCTGCGCATCGAGCTCCTCCGCGGTGGGGGCCTTCTTGCGCCGTTTCGGGGCCGGCCTGGGAGGGGCGCCGAACTCGTCGTCCGAATCTGAGAGCAGGTCGATCGCCTGTTTTCGTCCCCCGGCGTTTCTGGCGGTTGCCGCTGCCCCCGCCCCCCCCGCCGCCCCGCCAGCTCTGCATTTGGTAGACGCAGCGTGGTGGTGGTCGTGGTGGTGGAAGGGCGTCATGTTACCCAGGGGGATGATGTCTAAGAATCGAGCAAACACGCGGTGCCAAATGATATTTCGGGTGCCAAATGAGATATAGAATATGTATGCCGTCGTAACGCCGCACATGTACCCGGCCGGACAAGTATGTGTAGGCTGTGTGGCGTGTGCAGGGCCCATTTGCCGGTGGGGACTTGCACTCAAGACGGAGATATCAGACATTGCAGCGCAAGCCGTGTCCTTCAAGCAGGCGCAATGCTGTCTCCGAAATAATGCCCACTAGGGGGGGGGGAGGTGTACAACCACACATTTACATAGCAGTCCCACTTTTTTTGCCGCAGCGAGGAAAAAAACTCCTCATCGTCCTCGCTTTCCGAATTGTCACTCCCTCCCCCTTCCTTCTTCTTTTCGTCCTCCGAGGAGTCGTCCGAATCGTCGTCGGAATCCGATTTCTCGACCTTGCGCTGGAACGCTGCGCGTGACAGCAGTGGGGGTGCGAACAGCAACAGCGGCGACGCAGACGGGAGTTCAGGTTCGCTAGTTTTGATCAGGTCTGAGAGTTGTGCCGCATGCGCATGTAGACCACATGAGAAACCCATAGATGGCAAGGATTCAATACAGCCAACCTCGGCTCTTGCAAGCGCGGAGTTTGCGACAGGTAAAAACGACAACAACAACAGAATCCACGACTCCAACAATTACAACAAAAGTCTTGTTGATGAGTTGGTGGGTCGATTTTTCTCATGCCATTACGGATTTCCGTTAACCTGAAAGTTTGAGCCCGACACACCAAGCAGAGATAAGAGCATGCGCTCCCAAGAAATCACATGACATCGCTGTCGGTGCATGCAGACGAGTCTCGCCGTCCCGCTGAAAAGTGCAGACGAGAAGGGGTGCTGCTGTTGGAGGTGGCGATTGACCCAGTGATCTATGTTGAAATGGACCAGAGGTGGAACGAGCGAATCTGGAACAGCTCAAGAGGCAACCTCATCGGTAGACTACGCATTTGAACCTGATACCTTTTCGACAGGCGACAGCGCAGCTCAGGAGAGGTCCAGCAGGGGCCATCAAAGCAACAACATAACCTACCACATCATGTGCAGATGGATGTGGTGAGAGATGGGGACTTCCGAAGTCTTGCAGAATAACCGGGTTCATTGGATACGCCAACAAGCAAGGAGACAGCTCGAAATAGTGAGCTTCCGTGGGCCGTTCTGCAGCAGCTCGGGGAGCTACTTCTACTATAGCTCAACCCTCTGTTCAAAGCGGCGGCCAGATTAGAGCGAGTCCAAGGTGATGATCGACCGTGTGCCGGACGTCCTTCTCCGTCCTCTCCGCCCAGATTTTTCAAATCTACGCTTGCCGCGATCAGCAACCGGGGTTTGGAAATGGGAAACAGCAACAACAGCCTCAAAGGCTATCCGACGCTCTGCGAATACTCACCACCGCGATCCGGGAACTTGAAGAGGGGCTCATCTTCCGACGAGCTCGCGCCATCTCCCTCCGAGTCCGAGTGGACAAGCTCAAAACGACGAGGGGAAGACGATTCCTTGGACGATCCGTCTGATGACATGGCAAAATATTTTGCCACCGCAAAAGCGTCGCCAACTTCTCGGTAGCACAAGACTTGGCTGGTTGTTCACGGTGTGAATCCCATAAGTTGGAGGGGCGGAACCAAGGGAACTAAGCTCTGTGCGGGATGCGTTTCGTGTCTGTCTATCTCCCGTCTGGCTGTCCTCCTGTGCTTCTGCCTGTGCTGTCTCCCCCGAGAGCCCTAGTCTGGGGGGTCCGCGATGTGCTCCGCCCCCCCTACCTCCATTTCACGGGGCTTATGTTGTAACGGCCGAGAGTTGAACCAGTTGAGTTCGAACGCTCAGACATCACAATGACTACGGCCCGTGACGACTGTTATGTACCAGCAGAGGAGTGTAAATACCAGCCGATAGATACATAATGGCAAGTGGGCACTAAGGGGTTTGCGGTACTCATCATGTTCGTACCATCTATGTACAGCAGCAATAACCTCACTGGTCTCGCCGTCGCAGTTTTGCCTACCGCATACCTGGTATTGTATACGACACAAGATGACGCCCCCCCGGACTGATTTGCAAAGCCCGATTACGCCGAGAATAGCCGCGACAAAGAGGATTCATAAACGAAAGGATATGTTTCTGGAAAGCTCTCGACAAGACGGCTTCAACGCAGCCGTTTGCGGCGCTGTAAGTCTTTCTGCTGTTGAGAAATCGAGCGTTGAAAATCTGTTCAGGGGGTGGGTTATCTTGTGTCCTGTACTGGTAGTACGGTATCCGATGTCCGATCTGGGGTCACATGCACACCCTTACCCTTTCCCCGCAACTGTATGATTTCTGTCATTACATGATACATTGTTTGTCTGCACGCGGCGTGATAAGTGCCCCTCAAGAATTCATCGTGTATCGTCGAAAAACTCGGGCAGTTTTCCTCAATCCACTTAATGAACACCTCACGATGTTCACCAGTGTCTTCCTGCACGTTCACTGGTTCCATTCTGCCATAAATTCCTTCCGTAGTCACAAGCAAGGAAGGCGTCCGCGTCAGTTGGACCAGTACGAACATAAGAAGGTATTGAGTAGGGACCAGAACGGGTTTTTAACGTGAAGACAACAACAACAACAACAACAACAACAACATAATACAATGCCCGCCGTTTTGCAGTATTTCCTGCAGTAGTCGGCAGTGTACTCCCCTCCGCAGTCAGATCGTCGTACAGTCTCTCCGACCGAAATCCATTCGGGATCACGTTATCTAGATCGCAGGGTATGTATGCGTGTCGATCGCTTCCTCCTTCGTCTTGACAAAATTTTATGGGGAGAGCTATATAGTCTATACTGCACGGCTGTGTACATCGGGAATCGTCTACCGCACGTACACTTGGACAACGAAACGCCATTCTCCGGATGTATGTTTGGGAAGCAAGCGTCGCTACAACACCTACAGGTGATCGGATCATCGGCCTTCTTTGCGCACGTCCAACCACAATACGAAGTAATTCGGAGCTTACGTACGAGCTTGTCCAGAAATACTGGTTGGGCACAGGTCCGACAGTAATGCTTATCGGATTTACAATCCGCGCACAACAGCTAATATTTCCAGCAGAAACGTCACGTTCATTGAGAAAAATGGACGCGGCCATGCCGCCGATCTTGCCGACTTTTGAGGAACTTCGGGGCTGTCAGAGGCGAGACGAATTATGATCGGTTTTCTCACATATTGGCACATCCGGAAACCGGGGCAAATAAATGCACTTCGCGAACTGAAGAAGAAGAAGAAGAAGAAGAAGAAGAAGAAGAAGAAGAAAAACTACCACTCGCATGAACTTTCGAAGCGGCGGCAACAAGACGTCAAATTATCAAAGGGCCACGAACAACCGACAGCTAGCGGAGCTGAGGCTATTGTAATTGAGGCACATATCGGGTAATTTTGTCAACCAAGACATCAGAATCAAGGTGCCATTGTCAGGAGAACTAGTTCGTCCGCCCTCTTCTATACCTATACCGACTACCCAACAAGAAGCCAAGAGGTCTGTGGATGCCGATCAATGGGAAGCAGCTATAGACAAGGAGATGGACTACCGAAAATATCATGATGTTGCTGAGTTAGTTCCGCTTCGGATTCTTCCACCAGGAGCTAAGGAAAAATGCTCGAGAGGGTTGTACAAAATAAATGTGTCTGGAGTCATGACAAGGCAAGGCTGAGCGTCCAAGGCTGGGAACAACGACATGGAATCGACTGCGGAGGAATCTACGCTGTTGTGAGTCGATTCAGTTCAAATGTGGCATTACTGGCTGTAACATTGTAAAATAGATGGATGTGGTGATCGTATTTGTTCAGGATCAATGTCTACAGCGTGAAAGGTGCTACAGCAGCCTCTCATACTTAGTCTAGCCATTCCTGGAGCCCGGGACCAGAACGCTCGAGGGGCGAAGACGATTCGGTCAAAACAGCGGGAAATGTCCAACTTCTGCCCAGGACCCGACGATTCTTCTCAACGGAACAGGCGCGCAGGTTAAGTGTTGCGCTTCAAGCGCAGGCTTCAGGTGTGATCGTGGCTCGGAATCGCACCACGGTCCCTGGCCAGGGAACACGGCAAGGCGTCCGCCCGGACTACTGTGTGTTTGAAGAGCACAGCAACAGACTGACCGCAGATGGATTGCGAAGCTGCGCTGTGTTGCCGAAGTAGCCAACTTTGGTTGCGTTCTCAGGCTTGCTACACTCGTCCAGTGCAGGATTTGTTCGCCTGAGGCACCGAGCACAGTCTCCAGACTTTGGTTCGCGTTTCGCGCGCAGACTCCCAGGTGCGAAGAACACCCGGAGAAGACGACATCCCGGTGTATGCCAATCTAATGCCAGTTTCAAACAATAAAAGCAGACACGTACACCAAGTAGACAATCGAAGTCCAGGCAGTAAGCCCGTAGCATCCAGGGCACGACAAGGGCACCTAGAGACACTCAGAGAATCCGGCGGTTCCACAGAGACTAAGGTCGGTCACCGAACGTCGAGATATACCACATACTTCCTCTGTCACATAAGTAAAGTCCGTTATGGGGGAATTTACATACCTCACCAGCCAAGGTGTTCCTGAAGCTCTAGTTAGGTTTGTTGGAAAGCGCTTGTTACGCACATAACTTAAAAAAAAAAAATCCGACTCACAATTACTGAGAATTAATGTGTCAAATACGGGACTATTTTGCGAATATTTTGGGAATATTTTGAAAACATTTTGAGAATATTTTAGATAATATTTGCAGCTTTGTGCTGTGTGAGCACCCACTACCACCACAACGACGTAGCTATCATGGGGGACGACGCCCAGACACCCCCACGTCGTAAGCGGGGTGCGGAAGTATCGTTGGGTCGTCGGTACGCCATGGCGGTGGAGATAGCGTTGGCGATTCCGCCGGGCAAAGAAAGGGTACCCAAGGGCTTTCTAGGCCCCCTCGCCGAGCGGTACGGCGTTGGTAGTGATTACCCCAGAAAACATTGGGCGGAATGCAAAGCGCAGATCGATGAAACCGGAGAGCTCGACCTTTCCAACAAACGTCGGAGTGGGCGGCCATCACTCCTCACTCCGACGAAGGCCGCGGCGTTGCGCAAGGTCAACAAGGAGAATCGGTCATTCACGCTGAGACAAGTGTCTTGGTTTTAGTGTGGGCCTCGAAAATGTCTTGATTATAGTGTGGGCTCACTACTATGTTGGTTTTTGTATGGGAGGACGCGAAATGGATCGTTCAGTAGAGGTAACCTTGGGTTTAGGGTTCGGGATAATTCTTGTCTTTTTTTGGTATGTTTCGTTTCGTGCCCCCACCCCCACCCTCATGGAAAGGGGCAAAATACGGCCTTTNCCTTGGGTTTAGGGTTCGGGATAATTCTTGTCTTTTTTTGGTATGTTTCGTTTCGTGCCCCCACCCCCACCCTCATTGAAAGGGGCAAAATACGGCCTTTTTTGGACTGACTACCTTTTTGTAAGCCGCTAGTGCATGCAGGGTAGTGCGCAAGAAAAAAAAAGAAATATGGGTTTCAGCCCGAAAAACGCTCAAGATTTCAAAAAAAGTATCGCCTAAGACATCGGACACGGCTAAATGGCCGTGTAATCATAACGGACTTTACTTATGTGACAGAGGAAGTACAGCAATTCTTCCCTCCACATACGCTACATGACGCAGAAGATAGGACACTCGCCACACTTGAGCAGTGGTACTGACCATTGACTACAATGGAGGAGATGTAACATAACACTTTCAAAACAACGTTCTCCGGAGTACTGGACACGGAAGATAGCTTCGCCAAGTTCCCCAACATGCAAACAGCGAAAAATTGAGGGAGAACGCGTTAAAAAGGCCCGAATGTGCTCGAGAGGCCTCACGGCGACCGTTTGGCGAACGACAGCACAATGCGCTACGAAATTGTCAAGCAGTTGCATGCACCGGCCTTCGCTCTTGGTGAACGATTAGTGACATTTTTACTACCAGCATCATGAAAACGTATGGCAGAGAACGTGTGAAGTAGAAATTATGTCTGATACAGAACCGATGACGGTGTACGGATATATTGCGACAATAGCTGCGGTGAAGTTTCAGAGAACATTTTCCGCAGCTCGCCGCCACCCGGGTCACGTGTAGCGAAGCTGCTTGTTCATGCCTTCTATATCCTCGCGCATATTCTGCAAAGGGGGCGTTCAGAGAACCACGCAAGGTACGTGCAACAACGGATTGTCGGTAACAGCAGTGTGGCTGGCCAAAGCGCGGGCCCGACTTTCTTGTGTGGATAAGCATCAGTTCCAGTTGCCCGATGGCTCTGTCATTTCAACCGCGGTGAAGAACAAGTCACCAGGAACAATCTCCTGCATAGCCTTCTCCGGATATCACCAATGGAGCCAATCGGTCGTGTGTACTCCTCATGCGTGCGACACAACAAGGACTGAAATAGGTCGTGAGACTCTAGTGCAGTGGCAGTTCAGGGGCAGCAGGTGGCAATGACAAGGAAGTCCATGCACTCTCTCGAGCGTGCCTCCAACGTGCCACCACAAGACCAGGATAACCGGATAGTTAGGACTGGCCTCATTCCCCACGACAAGACCTACTGTAGTTCGATGAACACCAAGACAAAAAAATCGAGTATGTCCTGAAGGCGGAAGGCTTTTTGGTGCGCTAGAGTGGCGGTACCCAAAGGGACAGATAGAAATGGCCCTTCTTGCGTACAAGCAGTTGTAGTTGGCAAGGACAAGAGAACAACTGCGAGGAGAGGTCCCTCCTCATGAGGGGCCCCCGACAAGGAGAGTGCACCGTGTACCAAGTGGGTGAGCCTGTGTGCCTCGGTGTAGTGGCTAGACGGGTTACAGGACTGATTGTGGAAGACATACACAGGGACGCATCGTGTCTCTTCAGCATGCAAGCGGGCAAAACCGGTACAAGAAGCAGCCCCGACGAATGCTAGGTTCCTAAACAAACCACACGCACCTCCCTTGCCGACTCGGGGTCTACCCCATCGATGTGCATCAATGCCGGTCCCAACACCTCCAGCGCCCGACAGTGGTAGCAGAGTTCGCATCGAAGAAACTCCTCCAAAATGTCCTGGTATATATGCACGTCATTCGGTGGGAAGTGCTACGCGTTTTCCAATCAACGGAAACGACGAAGCGGTTCACCCTTGCCAGTTATGTCGATGAGGCCGGTATGAATCTGGTACCCTTGTAGTGTGCACGACCACGTGATTTCGAGCCATACACAAAGTTGTCTCAATGACATCCAACACTTTTGTCAGGTGCGCCATCAAAAAGTTTCCTACCTTAATCTCCTCTACTCGCTGCGCCTCGAATAACTCAAAGTTGTTGTCCACGGTCGCCTCTGTGTTCATCAGCTGGTGGCGGTGCTCAAGCGTGGCCGACGAGATATCCTCTCGTAGCCCTTTGGTTAGATCATCTGGGATGGTGCGGAATCAATCACATACACGAGAAGAATCAGCGAGAGCAGTTCGCGTGGAGCTACCGCATGACGAACGGTGTAAGAAGGCTGATGATTGTCACACGAGTTGCAGCAGCGGTTGCTTGTCAGAGAGGAGAACGAAACGTCAAGTCTCCAACTCGGGCACAGCAGTAGCAACGACAAAAAAACGGTCTCTGATACGCTAGAGGTGCATGTCTCCTTCGAAGGCAGCGAAATGCACACCGAAGACACGCGAAGCAACGCGTGCGGTGTGCACCACGTAAGGTTTCAATTACCGTTTGCTTTTTCCTCGGCCTTGAGCAAGGCCTTGATACAGCTATCCCTATCCTGCAGCAGCGCCTGGAACAGGAGAGTTTGCAAGGAAACACCGGCAAGATGATCAGAACGTTGGCTCAAGCAGTCCCGGCGCCAAGCGGTAGACAAGTTTGTGCTTGTCTACATAGTCCCAACGAAACTCCTGCTGCTGTTACGAGGTGATCACGCATGCACGTATTCCTGACTTGAACTACGGTATAGTCATCTGTAGCATGCCTCCCTGAAGTGGTTTCTGCTCCAGTGAGATCGAATTATTCCTGGAACTTGAGGGTTTGGACCATGCGCGCAGTGTGCCAAGCTTGTATCTCAGTCAGGCTCGAAAACCTCATCTTGAGCCGACGCTTCCACGCTCTGACTGGTGAACTTCTGGGTGTGAATTGCCACAGCAATCGACAGATGCTTGATACTGCCGCTAGCGACTACCCTCGAGGATGCCTCGCACCTCCTCAGCTCTTTTTTTCAACCCGCCGCGACCTCACCTGAGTCGGCGCAATGACGGTTTTCTTGATGTCCGCCAGCTTGTTCAATACTTGGCTCTTGGCTCGATCGATCTGGTACATGACAAGGTTTATATGCCACAGTTTGACACCATGCGCATGCCTATCTACGATAGGCGACAACCTGTCTCTCGAGAACTTGAAGTTTGTACCAGAAGTACAGCGAAACACTCTGCGGTGGAGGCGATGATGAGATGCAGTGCCCGCGGTGTGTGCGGCCAAAACATTTAAACAGACATGAACCAAACCGGGCACAATGCAGGGATACAGGCCTGATGATGATAATATTCACGAAAACAGCCAAAGGTTGCTGATACACCTACATAAGCGATCCAGAGAGATTAGAGAAAATCGGAGTCCCTTCGAGACGAGAGAAACAAACACACCCGGTACAAGTGCTGCAGTCTACAGCGTAGACTAATAATAGTGTAATTCCTCATATCTTCAGAACGTTGTGGCCTGGGCCCGTTGTTCCTCCTGCACAAAAAGTGTGCGTATCTCTTTCCACGGCGCGGTGATGTTTCTCTGTGCCGGGGATGTTGCTGCTGTAGTGATGCACGAAGCTGGCTGCAACGAAGAGCCCTAGCCGGCGAACTTCATCCCTCACCATGATGTTCTTTCTCTCTAGAGATATCCTCTCGTTGATTTCGGCCAGTCCCACCAGCCTATCCTGGAGATCCGCGAACGGCTCCTGCGCGGCGATGGTCTTGAGCTTGGTGCTGAAGCTGATCCCGTGTTTGACACCGTCTGCTTGCAGAGCATACGAGTGGCGTAGCACATTGAACGCTTTTCAGCCTGCGGATTGAGTCCTTATTCTGCGTGTTCGCCCCCAGCCGGACTACAGTAGTGTTTTCTTTGCCAAACAACGCACCCTGGTGGTGTCCCACGGTTTGGCTGATGTGCCTGATGAGCTGCGCAACGTTTCGATCGAAGAACTCCAATCGTCCATGAAGTCTTCGTCCTTTCTCGTCCAGCGTCATCGCAGTTCTAGAGATGACTTGCGAAGACGAAAAACATAGACTAGTGCGTGGAACGGAATAGCATGGAGCACACACACAGGAAAAAGATCGGCGAGATTGGTTGGTTTGGATATGCTCATTCGCAGGGGCGACGCAGAAAGGAACGATGCATACCCCTACATCGACGCCCCGCTTGACCACCGGCTGACTCTGTCAGAGCCAGCATAGAGCTCGATCTACCTCACACTTGTCCTCCCGTCTTGCTCAAGGGCGTATTCCTCCACCATGACTTCCTTGTTATCGACAATCGCGAGAGGAACGCCTAAGGCGGCGAGATTCATGGCCGGGGGCGGCGCTGGCTTGAGGTATGTCCGCGTTCGAAATCCCCGACTGCTGTGCCGTTGTTATTCGTGGCTATGTGGGGTACACAGCGCTAGAGACATGGAGGGAGAGAGACAGAGCTCGTCTCTGGTGCAGCAGCAAGAAATAACCCGCGGCAACATGCTGCAACATGCTGCCGCCAACCCTGTCTCCGGCTGCTCCTGACGTGTATGCATTCGTTCTTCTCTGGCTGCTGCAGGGCCACGCGAATCCGTACCCTCCGGACGCTCACAGCAGGACCTCTGTCAGCAGACTCTCGGCCGTCGCTGTCGTCTGCGCTGTCACCAGCACCAGCAGCCCCCACCCACCAGCAGCAGCTGCAACGGAGATTCCTGTCGATCCAGTCCGAAGACATCAACCCACAAGAAGCGGGCGCTACAGCAGCGGCTGCAGGGGAGGCACCGGCAGCAACAGGGGAGGGGGAGGAGGTGTCGGAGGAGGAAGTGACGCCGCCGCCGGCGGGGAGCCCTGAGCCCCTGTACCTGATCCAGGTAAACGGCCTCCCGTTTACCATGGCGACGGAGGAGATCGAGCAGTGGTTCGACGAGGCAGCGTGCTCTCCAGCGAAGGTGGTGGTGCCGCTGTGGCCAGAGAGGTCCATACGCGCGGGGCAGAACAAGGGCATGGCGTACCTCTACTTCTCCAGTGAGGAGGACACCCAGAAGGCGCTGTCCCTGAGCGGGAGGTCCATCGGGGATCGGTGGATCAACATCTCGAGGCTGGTTCAGCCTCTCGAGGAGGTGAAAACAAAAAGCAGGAGGAGTGCTATCATGGGTACAACGTTACAACTTGATGCAAGGGGTGCAGCAGCTGAGGAGGTCGCACGAAACGCAGACTTGTTCTCAGCTCCCTTTGTGCACCTTCTATCTTACTTGAAAAACGTGAAGGTTTTGAGGTTAGGTGGTGCTCACTGTGATTGCAGTCCTATGCCCCCCGCCGGTGCGTTGTAGTTGCCCGGCGCTATAATGAACGGCGAAAGAAAAAGTAGCTCCTGAAGGGCATCGTCTCAATCTGCAATACCAGCTCTATCCCTTTTCTGATGGCAACGGCGAGTTTCTTCCATGGGTAGGTGTTTTCGATTGGGGGCAAGATTAGTCTGGGAGCAGCCATGTTCGCTCTCGCTCCACCTCCTCTATTTTCTCTTTCGACGCACGCCGTCCGCGGAAATCAGGGGCGACCGCTGCCTCCCTCCCCTCCCTTCCGACAATAAAAGTACTCATATTCTATTCCGTCAAAGTTAACTACTGCCTGACCCTAGTCGTTTCGTCCCAACCGGCTTTCTTTTGCTCCCACAACCAACACGTCTTCCACGCGAACGTCTTTTTTTTTTTTTTTTGCAAAAGTCATGCACGGTTACGATCAAGGGTCTTCATGGATTCCCTGAGGGTGAGGTTGTGGCTATCTTTGAGGAGGCCGTGGGCGCGGCGCCCGTGGAAGTCAATATCATCGAGAACCCTAACCGATCGCGAGGGTTGGCTTTCGTCAAGTTCGAGACGCCGGACCTGGCCAGGGCGGTGAGAAAAAATGAACAGGGAGGGGGAAACAGAGAGGGAGAGATATATAGAGAGAGCTACAGCACCCTGGTCCTCTGGTTGATGGCAAAAAGGGAGTGATACGATATGTACTTAGGTTGAGGGTAAGGAGAGAGAGGGACGTGAGGCAGATGAGACTGCTGTACACGCGTTAGAGAATCAGGCAGACAGATGCCAAGACAGACATGTGAACACCACGACGGGATTTGAAGCCTAAATATGTTTGAGCTAGCCAGGAGTAGGAGGGGAATGGGAGGAGAACGTAAGACATACAATCCCCGGAACGTTTGACGCGACGGGAGGGCCATGGCGAACGTGGGCCACTCGTATGCATAGTCAGGTTCACGGAGGTGTACAGGCTAACGATAGATAGCAGCCAGCAACCGCTCGAAGAATTGCCACGATTGGTGTCGCCGGAATGCATTCTGCACCTGCAAGCCCGGACAACTTGGAGCTGATTTCTCTTCGTGGGACTGCACTCAATTGATCACCCCGCATCAGCGACGGCAAGACCCCCCCCCCTGTGTGATAGCCTAGCCCGGTGACAACCCGGCGTGCTCCTTCCCGGGTTTGTAGGGACGCGAGGTGAATGGTCTAGCGACTGCGGCATGCACTGTTATGAGTCCCCCCCCCCGCCCCCCTTCTTCACGGCCTCAACTTTGTACCGTGGCCGACCACTTTTTGTTCCCGATCTCCAAATGTGCAGGCGTTGCATTTGGACGGTTCCAATATCCAAAACCAGTGGGTGGACGTGTCGCTGCACGTGATGAAGCAGACCTCGAAGGAATTCCGCCTGGGGAGCGGGTCTCAGCCGCCTTTCGGCCCAGACGTGCCCGATGAGATGGTGGTGATGCTCAAGGGCTTGCCGTTCAGCCTCTTGGATGACGAGGTACGTAATTGCGTGGTTCTTGACGTTGCAACGGAACGCGTTAAGGGATTGAAGAACAAGCCATTTTGACGCTGGCTCTATTGTGATACTTGAGCACATTGTTAAAGAAACAACCATCCCCGCCGTTTAGGTCTTTTGCATTCTGCTGTTGTCGGTAGAGGACACGATGAACAGGCGTCCCGTGTGCTGGCACGTTCAGGTTTGCTAATACTGGAGCTGAATGTCGAAGGTCGCAGCAACCTCTGTCACAGTCTTGAATCTGTGCGAACTTGCCCGAACCACACGCCTTTCATAGCCGTGCTCACCACCACGGACAGTAAACCCCTCAACGGAGGGGTTGTCAGCAGTAGCTGGTTGCATTAGCTACTGCAGTCAACCCGCAATTCAGGAGGTTGGGGTCATTCGGTCGAATTGGTGGAGATTGTAGGCCGCTGTGCGACCCTCGATATCACACCATTGAAGCAGATTTGAGCGGGCTAACCCCCCCCCCCCCCCCCCCCCCCCCCCCCCCCCCCCCCCCCCCC